TATATCTACATACTGAACACATATGGTTATATCTACATAATGACCACATTTGGTTATATCTACATACTGACCACATATGGTTATATCTATATACTGAACACATATGGTTATATCTACATACTGAACACATATGGTTATATCTACACACTGACCACAGATAGTTATATCTACATACTGACCAGATGGTTATATCTACATACTGACCACAGTTGGTTATACTTGTATCTACATACTGACCACTGCTGGTTATATCTACATACTGACCACATATGGTTATATCTACATACTGAACACAGATGGTTATATTTACACACTGACCACATATGGTTATATCTACACACTGACCACATATGGTTATATCTACATACTGACCACATATGGTTATATCTACATACTGACCACATATGGTTATATCTACATACTGACCACATATGGTTATATCTACATACTGACCACATATGGTTATATCTACACACTGACCACATATGGTTATATCTACATACTGACCACATTTGGTTATATCTACATACTGACCACATATGGTTATATCTACATACTGACCACATATGGTTATATCTACACACTGACAACATATGGTTATATCTACATACTGACCACATTTGGTTATATCTACATACTGACCACATATGGTTATATCTAAATACTGACCACATATGGTTATATCTACACACTGACAACATATGGTTATATCTACATACTGACCACATATGGTTATATATACATACTGACCACAGTTGGTTATACTTGTATCTACATACTGACCACTGCTGGTTATATCTATATACTGCCCACATATGGTTATATCTATATACTGAACACGTATTGTTATGTCTACATACTGACCATGGATGGTAAAATCTACATACTGACCACATATGGTTATATCTACATACTGACCTCATATGGTTATATCTATATACTGAACACGTATAGTTATATCTACATACTGACCAAATATGGTTATATATACATACTGACCACAGTTGTTTATACTTGTATCTACATACTGACCACTGCTGGTTATATCTACATACTGACCATGGCTGGTTATAACTATCTACTGACCGGATGGTTATATCTTTATTTACTGACCAAAAATGGTTTTACATTGTATCTACATACTGACCGCTGATAGTGTTATATACATACTGACCAGAGGGTTATATCTACATACAGGCAATGGATGGTTATAACTACATACTGACCACATATAGTTATATCTACATTGTGACCACAGATGGTTATATCTACATACTGACCAAATATGGTTATATATACATACTGACCACATAGGGTTATATCTAAATACTGACCACATATGATTATATATAATTACTGACCACATATGGTTATATCTACATACTAAACACGTATTGTTATGTCTGAATACTGACCACGGACAGTTATATCTACATACTGAACACGTATTGGTATGTCTGAATACTGACCACGGATAGTTATATCTACATACTGACCAGATGGTAATATCTTTATTCTGACCAAAAATGGTTATACATTGTATCTACATACTAAACACTGATAGTTATATCTACATACTGATTACAGACAGTTATATCTACATACTGACCGGATGGCTATATCTACACACTGACCAGATGGTTATATATACAAACTGACCACATATAGTTATATCTACATACTGCCCACAGATATTTTTATCTACATACCGACCCCATGTGGTTATATCTACATAATAACCACATATGGTTATATCTACTTCCTGACCACAGATGGTTATATATATATACTTAACACGTATTGTTTTTTCTACATACTGACCGCAGATGGTTATATCTACATACCGACTGGATGGTTATATCTATATACTGACCACAAACAGTTATATCTACATACTGACTAGATGGTTATATCTACATACTGACTGGATGGTTATATCTATATACTGACCACAAATAGTTATATCTACATACCGACCACATATTTGTTTTATATACATACTGAACAGATTTATATAAACATACTTACAACGAAAGTTATATCTATATACTGGCCAGAGATGGTTATATCTTTATATTGACCACGAATGTTATATCTACGTACTGAGCACATATGGTTATATATACATACTGACCACAGATGGTTATATCTACATACTTACCACGGATTTGATATCTACGTACTGAGCACAAATGATTATATCTACATACTGACCGAATGGTTATATCTACATCCTGACCACATATAGGTATACCTACATACTGACCGAATGGTTTTATTTACATACTGACCACAGATAATTATATCTACATACTGACAGAATGGTTATATCTACATACTGACCAGATGGTTATATATACAAACTGAAAACATATAGTTTTATCTACACCCTGACCACAGATAGTTGTATTTACATACTGACCACAGATAGTTATATCTACATACTGACCAGAGATAGTTATATTTACATACTGACCAGATGGTTATATCTACATCCTGACCACAGATAGTTATATCTACATACTGACCACAGATAGTTATATCTACATACAGACCACAGATAGTTATATCTACATACTGTTTACAAATGGTTATATCTACATACTGACCATAGATAGTTATATCTACATACTGACCATATATGGTTATATCTACATACTGACCAGATGGTTATATCTACATCCTGACCATAGATGGTTATATCTACATACTGACCAAATGGTTATATCTACATACTGACCAAATGGTTAATCTACATCATGACCACAGATAGTTCTATCTACTTACTGACCACAGATGGTTATATCTACATACTGACCACAGATGGTTATATCTAAATCTTGACCACATATGGTTATATCTACATCCTGACCACAGATGGTTATATCTACATACTGACCACAGATAGTTATATCTACATACTGATCACAGATAGTTATATCTACATACTGACCACATATGGTTATATCTACATACTGACCACCGATGACAATAACTACATGCTGACCTCTTCATACCAATCAACTATGTCGACATACTTTGCTTAAATGTTCGTTGACATACTAACCTCATTATGTCTACCAACTACCCAGTAAACAAAAAAGACCACACACCCACATAAACATCATATGCCGTATACTTCTTTATGGAAATTCATGTAAGAATATATGACACTATCATATGCATATAATTATCGATAGAAATGTCCAACCCGAAGGGTTGCGCATTTGGGGCAAACCAAGGCTGGTCGAGGTTGAGCAACACAGTTATGTATTCCTGGGTTGAATATTTATACCCTGCATCAGATAAACATAAAGACATTGTTTTCACATACATTTGATAGCAATATATAGCCAATTTCTTGCAGCAAGTTTTTCCGCCATCTTGTGGGAAAATACCAATATATCTAATTCTAAACCATTATGAGAGCATTGGATATTGGTTTATACTAATGTTATAAACTCAAAGTCGTAACGTTACCAAAGCCGCAATGAATGTAGATAAAAAAAAAGTTTAACTAGAATACAAAATTCAGTAAATATATTTGAAATGACGTCAAACTTACCGCGGCATGACGTCATCTCATGGTCTTTGTATTGTGACCCTAAACCATGCAAGCTAGATTTCTCTTGCACCTCAGACAGAGATATCCCACGTCATACCCCATGCTAGATTTTTCTATCTCGTCCTGTCTGTCCTGTACCTTTGCGTGACATTCGCGGAATTTTACGATGTATTCATCCGCGCGTTAACTGCTTGAAATTGACAATTTGCATTATAAATGTTCTGTTTTGTCAATTTATGTTTCGTTTTGATATTGTTAGATATTTGATATTGTAGATAAAATTTATTCTACACTTTGAATCTACGTTGTAATCTATGTAAGGACGGACTACATTTTTACGCGGAAATATTCAAATGTAACTTTAGTAGTGAAGAAGTCATTATCATTTGTGGCCCAAGGCGGGATACTTGTAGTTTTTAGCAAAATTGAAATGTTCGTTTCGAACTAAAAGGTGCGAGAAAAACATAATACCTGTAACTGAGCAAGATTGGGTTATCTCAGTCTCAGGGCTAAGCTTCTGTCGGTTTACGCCTCGGTTGGGATTTTGTTACAGAACCTTAACTCTCGACTTCGATAACCTGATCTCGCTCAGTTACAGGTAATTTTTTTTATTAATCTCGCATGTCTTCCTATCATGGGAAAAGTTGATCTTACATTACCGGCAATGTAAACAAAGCTATTTTACTGAATTTATTTTCCATTTAAAGTAGTTTTATCTAAATTTAGTATTTTGTTATTTATAATTTGAAGTTTTTGTTTTCATTTTAAACCAAATTATGATGCGCATTTTTAATTATTTAGATAATCAAATATCCAGTTTGTTATTCAAATTAATTTTTCAGCAACTTTCTCTATAAAATACGTTGATAAACGATGTAAGCGAAATATATATTGGAAATGTTCCTGGGAAAATAATTTTGGTTCAACATCTTTGGCAACCTTCGTCTTTTTTCCTTTTTACCTTCTTAACGGACACTTAAACCCAAACAAAGCATATCAATCAAACATTTAGGAATGCTAGTATAACATAGAAACCATTTCAGCGTAGACCCAGAAACCAGATCATAAATGCCTTACTAGCACGGGAAAATCTAGGTAAAAACTTAAATTTCATTGATATTTTAATAAAAAATTGTTTGAATAGGTTAGCCTTGAATGCAGACCTCGACAATGATTTTATAGAAGTCGAAGATATAAGAATTAATTTTAAAATGTTAGAATTAAAGTTATATCAAAGTATTTTAAACATAACATGATGCAAAATAATACTTCACACGTGGAGGCACGTTCTTAAATGACATCGGCTATAAATATGACGTTAAACAATATATAACCGAACCAAAATGATGCAAAATAACACTTCACACCTGGAGGCACGTTCTTAAATGACATCGGCTGTAAATATGACGTTAAACAATATAAAACCGAACCAAACTGATGCAAAATAACACATTTATTATTAGAACGATGTAAAGCTGGACAAAATTAACAGTATACACATGTTTTATATCGGAAAGTCATTCAACGGATCAGTGTATCATTCCGCACTTGTCGCATCTCCTGCAAGTGCAGCACTGGGGGAACGTGTCATAGCGGACGGCGAAATATCCGTTGAAAGGACTGGTGAAGTGTGCACAATACACCCAATAGCGTTGTCGCGCGTGACCGTCCTCGTGACAGATGGTGGAAGTGCCACAACACGACTTTCTGCAACACACCAGAATAGCATATCAATGAAATAAGCAAATAATGGCGTGTGCACCTTAGATAGAACAGACTTCTCCCAAGTATAATCTATAAGAAGAGGAAACTGGTCTCTGTTCGTCTCTTATTCACCTTTTTAGCATATTAATTTATTACAAATACTGCATTACGAGTTCCATTCTGTAATACGTTTCACAAATGTTTACAGAAAATAAAAAAATAATCAACTAAAATGTATGTATTTAAAAAAATGATAATCAACATGCAATACAAGTAAGTAATATGAAATATAAATATAGTGAACAAAGAAAAACAAATGCATCATGTATTTGCAGTTTGTTTTGTAGCTCAATTATATCCTTTAGGTTGTTCATTACATTTAAATGGTTTCAACCTATATCGATCAAACATGTGAAAATAGATGACAAGGTTTTGTTAGATTGAAAGGTAAAAGATTGACTAAACTCACTGGTCACATTTTGCTCTTCGAATATTCTGCAGACCGGGAAGAACAATGTAGCAAAATGAAGCTGAACTGTCCCAGAAACCGTAGATCAGCTCTGTTTCCGTTTTGCATGTGCTTCGTAAGCTAAAAAAGTAAACCATGACCAATTCCAATTAACAAAATAACGAAATATATAATTATAAACAATGTATCGTATTTTTTTTCATAATGAAAACAGTGTATTAGTCATAATACAACACAATTGCATTCAATGTTCTTCTTAATTAAACGTACAGTAGTTAGATATTCATGATATATTCATTAAACATATAGCAGCATACGTCGACATGATAAAACAGTGTAGCATATTGTAATATGTATAATAATGCACGGGTTTTTAACATGGAGTTATTCATCACAAGCTCTTGTTAAGAATACGCATAAATAAGAAATTGAAATTGTCAAAGAATATGTTTGTGGCGTTCCTTTTTCTTGCGTGATGACGTCATGACATGTTTATATCGCTATCTATACTATCATTATCAATACTCAATAGAAGATGACAAACAAAAAGGATAATGCGAAGCATATATTACGAATTGGATTATTTTTCATTACACTATCGGATCCTCTGCTGGGGGCTCAATGTCATCTAGTGCCCATAACTGGTCTCGAACGAATTTGTACTGATAAGCTCCAATATCTGCGATCATTCTGTAAACACAAATATATTTTAAGGTATAATAATTTACAACAAAATTACTATGTTATATATTTTTTTAAGATATTTCAATGTTTATTGTTATGCTCAACTACTCAATGTTTGAGAATAAGTCTTTAATTTGTACATTCTTTAAAAAATACAGTACCAGGAGTAATTTATCTTTTTTTTCTTTTTCTTTTTGTCGTTTCCTCTTATGAAACATGTGTGAACTTCTACATCAATTTTCTTATCTTGCAAAATGTTGTAGATATTGTAAAATACCGTATACATTGTTATATACTGTGAATATTGTAAAATACCGTATACATTGTTATATACTGTAAATATTGTAAAATACCGTATACATTATTATATACTGTAAATATTGTAAAATACCGTAAACATTGTTATATACTGTAAATATTGTAAAATACCGTATATATTGTAATATAATGTAAATATTGTAAAATAACGTATACATTGTTATATAATGTAAATATTGTAAAATACCGTATACATTGTTATATAATGTAAATATTGCAACACATTGTAAATATTGTAATATAGAGGTTCTCTTTGCAGCAGTTAAGTAACGGAGAACTGTTTTGGTTACCAAAATGAATAAATGTGCTTAAACACTATATCTGTCTCAAAAGTGTCATATATATGTTATCTGTTAAGCAATAATTGTGCATAAGAGATACACGTTTGTTCGACAGTGAATCTGACATATGTATACGATTTTTCCGGTTTTTTTTCGCGCTTTTGATTTAACCTTGACCTTTAATGATTAAAAAGCATTGCCTTTAACCAATATCCCCTTTTTCGAGCCTCAATATATATATTGCACTGTTCGATGAATAACAAACCTAAATCGGACGTAGTCGCCAGTCATTTGTTGTTCTGTGACATAATTTATCTTGTCGACGTAGTAGTAGTGAACGTGGATATACCATCCATAGGGACATTTGTCATAACCTTTATCGGCCGATACAGTTACCAGAAACGCCGAGACGACGAGGAGAACCCATGTCAACTATAAAACAAAGACAAAATGTTCAATGAGATCTTCAAATTTCTATACGACCCAAAATCTATCAGAATATATCATTCCACGATTATGAAGCTCGTTTAGGATGCATGTTTACATGTGAACATGTAGTGAATCTGAAGTAGCTTAAAGAAGATACAACAAAGCAAGAAATGTTTATAAAATCTTCAAATTTCGATATGATCCATAATCTATCAGAATACATCATTCCGCGATAATGAAGTTCGTTTAGGATGCATGCTTACGTGTGAACATGTAGTGAATATGAAGCTGCTTAAAGAAGATACAACAAAGCTAGAAATGTAGATAGATTGTTTTACAACACATATAGATAACTTCGATATATCAAACGATCTGAAGTCCATACCTTCATGATATGCAGCCACACAGCGGTTCTGGTTGGGAGACACACACAAGAAGCCACGCTGTCCAGCCGACAGTGCTCCGACGAAAGAACAAACTTGAACTTTATGTCATAGAACGTATATCCCCACCGGGCTTAGGCAGAACTTGTAATGGGATTATGTTGAGTAAATATGGTAAACGGGACCATTATACACTGTTTTAATTAGTGGGTTTTATGCTCTTTATATTAATGTAAATATATACAAAAATGAAATGGCAGAGCGCCAACGCCTCTGAGGTTGAACAAAAAGGTTTAAGAAATACCTCTGGTGAGAATAAAAGATATGGATCTACATGTATCCTATAGAATGCTTATCTGAATGGTTAGAGGTTATGACACGTATATTTCTCTTGTGGATATATCTGTTGATGTGTTTCATACCTTTCATCACGCTAATTGTTTTGACAAGATACTCATTCAATGTTACCATGCCTCTTTTATTCGCGTTTTCGTTATTGTGTTTTGACAGGTATTATAAATCAAACAACGGAAATATTCATTTTTCCTTTGTTCTTGTTGAGTTGTGTACTGTAAGGTGAAGAGGTGATCCAAAATTTCGTTTTTGATACAAGTACTTCCATCGCTGTCTTTACGGATAACGAGTTTGTAGTCATTTCCGTATTTTCCTTTTTAACATAGAAATATAGATTTATTCTGAACAAAATTAGGAGTTTACAATCCTTTGACAGTCAGCTCTGAAATATTAAACAATTAAATAAAAACATATATTTCAAAAAAATAATTAAAATTGCATTTCTGTGTTTGGTTTTGCCAGTGTCCATCTAACTTATATTCAAATTGTTTATTTGTGCTTGAATTCACAACATTTGACGGAACATTGTTCCATAACTCAAAAGTCCTCTGTATAAACGAAAAGGTTCGAATATGTAATCATAAATTCGATTTGTAAATTTTAAAGTTATGTCCACGCGTAGATTAACTGTCCCTGACACTGAATATGTCGGATACTTCATAGTCATTTTTCCCGGACACTATTTTGATTGCCCGAAATGCTATCGTATCATCCAGGAAAAGGAGTATATCGTTCTAAGACTTGTTACATCAGTCATGTCATTTATATAAATTGCAAATAAAAGTAGTCCTAAAATCGATCCTTGTGGTATGCCACTTATTACATGGTTCCATTCCGTATATTTAAATACTGAAAAACAGTTAACACGATGAAAATGTGCTGATTGCCCTGAAATTTGGCAAATCTTTGTCTGCACTGCCGTTATTACTTCTTTGTCTATTTATCTATTAAAGTAACACGAATACAGCGAGCATTTTTTGTTCAGAGCCGATGTCAATACTGGATCATACTGTCGTTATTATTTATAAGATCTTCAGTACAATCAAGTCTACTCTGCCAAAATACTCGTTCTAACTGCTATGTCGACAAAACCTGAATGCGACGTCATTCAATTGTTTTGTAGGGCATCGTAATTAAAAACTTCCATGTACTAAAGACAATAGATTGTGTATGTCGAAAAAAGCTCCTTACACGAGCAAACCTTTACAGTTGAATAAAGGGAGATTATCACTTTTTTAATAGTCAGATTTATAACAAAAGAGCCCTCCATAACATGAAAATGTATTTGAAATCCAAAGCATTTATTGAATAGTATCTCTTTTTGTATAAAATATGACTAAGCTAAATATGTGTTATCTGCATGATATATCGTATTTAAATGTTTTGTGATTCCTATCGACGAAAATCAAATCATATTGTATCAGTGTATATACTAGTATGATAAAATGTATCACTGGTTATGATGAATAGTTACATAACATGCATTTTCTTCTCTCCAATCACAGCTAGCTCGTCATGGATAATCATGTTTTGTATATGTTTAGTCATGAATTTGTCCTGTCCATTTACATCGTTGATGTATGAATTTAACGACGGTCATGTACCTAACAGAATACGTTAGTTGTCTTCCGGCGAAAATATTATGCAAATAATAAAAAAGGAAAACACTACTTTCAGTTTCAAAAAACATCACTAATTAGAATAGTATCGTTTATCATCAATCTATTATATATTGAAGTGGTTATGCTATATATGTGAATTGGTCCATTAATTCCAGGAACAAATGTACTTGCCACAAACCAGTTCCGCGCAATGTAAACTCTGTGTTCACTACAAACGTTTTTAACCAGCTAAGAACATCTTTTATGTGGTTTTAATAGAGAGTTTCGGGGACCGATGTATTTTAAGGTAAGTATTTTTTTCTGCTTATACTGAAAATTTTGCATTATTTTGTAATCTATATAGATCCGCTTTTGACTTTAACGCATTCCCCTTTTTTAATGTATATTTTATTCATTTTCAAATGTTGTACATGACATGATACAACACCTGTGGTACATGATTGTTGGTTAAGCTGTTAAAGCTTAAGAGTTGTTGTTAATAGTTTCTTTTTAATTCACTATGAATGCATACTTATCATATGTTTACTACTAATAACACCCTTTTTGTATATGTGATAAGTCTAAAATTTCCACAAGTTGATATCAGCCCGGGTGATATCACACCCCTTGGAGTGATATCACACACCCTTGACAGTGATATCACACCCCCTAGAAAAGTGATATCACACCCCCTCCTACATTCCCGGATTTAGCCGTTTCCGCTTATTGTTGTCTGCTTTTAATGTAAACAAACGAATTGTTGGCATGGAATAAATGCCGTTTCATGGAAAATAATTTAAAGATTGATTTACAAAGCCCCACCCAAATTTCCGGATGGCGCCGCTTCCGTATTTGGATTTGCTTATTAGTGATACACCTGTCGTCTGCGTAAACAAAAACAACGATGGCGACGTCTATAGCTAGTACTGGCGAGGAGATTTTAGAGGAATTGGCAGCAAGGATTGTTGAACTAGATGAATGAATCCTGGAAAAGGAGACAAAACGTGTTATGGATGCAGGGGGCGATTTAATAATGCTTTCGTGGAACAAGGAGGAACAAGGATACATTTCCTCATCTTTCATGAGGAATAAGTATACTGCGAGAAAAACGCAATCCGACATCAAAATTTTCACGGATTATCTGATGTCTCAAATTGAGTGGAGATCTCCAGAGTCTATTGACTCGGTTCAGTTGGCGGATTACATGACCAGGTTCTTCATGAACGTCAGAAAAAACGATAAATATCAGTACGAACCATAAAGGCTGAGGTGTTTACAATCCAGCATTACTGTAACCGTTACCTACAGGAAAAATACTACGACGTCAATATTTTGACCGATATTAAAATCAAACATTCTCGTGATCTGCTAAGTGCCAAAATGAAGAATTTGAAGACGCAAGGCAAAGGAAACTGCCCAAATCTTAGGAAATGTATCTTCATAAAAGTGTCTTATTTCTGATCAGGTATGACCTCTTACGAATGTATAACGTCTGATCAGGTATGGCGTCTTAAAAGTGTCTTATGACTGATCAGGTATGACCTCTTACAAATGTATAACGTCTGATCAGGTATGGCTTCTTCAAGTGTCGTATGACTGATCAGGTAAGGCTTCTTAAAAGTGTCTTATGACTGATTAGGTAAGGCTTCTTAAAAGTGTCTTATGACTGATCAGGTATGGCGTCTTAAAAGTGTCTTATTTCTGATCAGGTATGGCTTCTTAAAAGTGTCTTATGACTGATCAGGTATGGCGTCTTAAAAGTGTCTGATGAATGATCAGGTATGTCGTCTTAAAAGTGTCTTATTTCTGATCAGGTATGGGGTCTTAAAAGTGTCTTATGCCTGATCTGATAAAGCGTTTTAAAAGTGTCTTATGACTGATCAGGTAAGGCTTCTTAAAAGTGTCTTGTGACTAATCAGGTATGGCTTCTTAAAAGTGTCTTATGTCTAATCAGGTATGGCTTCTTAAAAGTGTCTTATGACTGATCAGGTATGGCTTCTTAAAAGTGTCTTATGCCTGATCAGGTATGGCTTCTTAAAAGTGTCTTATGACTGATTAGGTATGGCTTCTTAAAAGTGTCTTATGACTGATCAGGTATGAGTTCTTAAAAGTGTCTTATGACTGATCAGGTAAGGCTTCTTAAAAGTGTATTATGCCTGATCAGGTAAGGCTTCTTAAAAGTGTCTTATGCCTGATCAGGTAAGGCGTTTTAAAAGTGTCTTATGACTGATAGGTATGGCTTCTTAAAAATGTCTTATGACTAATCAGGGATTGCTTCTTAAAAGAGTCTTGTGATTGATAAGGTGTGGCTTCTTTAAAGTGTCCTATGTCTGATCAGGGATTGCTTCTTAAAAGAGTCTTGTGATTGATAAGGTGTGGCTTCTTTAAAGTGTCTTATGACTAATCAGGGATGGCTTCTTAAAAAAGTCTTATGTCTGATCCGGTATGGCTTCTTAAAAGTGGCCTATGTCTGATCAGGTATTGCTTCTTAAAAAAGTCTTATGTCTGATCCGGTATGGCTTCTTAAAAAGGTTCTATGTCTGATCAGGTATTGCTTCTTAAAAAAGTCTTATGTCTGATCCGGTATGGCTTCTTAAAAAGGTTCTATGTCTGATCAGGTATGGCTTCTTAAAAGTGTCTTATGACTGATCAGGTATGGCTTCTTAAAAGTGTCCTATGTCTGATCAGGTATTGCTTCTGAAAATGTCTTGTGTATGTTGGAGTTTGGTTTATTAATAGTGTCTTATATCTGTTTAGATAGAATAATTACAATAAGTTTATATAATAATCCTATGTTTTATGTGAATAACCCTAGCGACTAAACAACGACTGATCTGAGTACATGTTGATTAAATTAGATGATCTGACCACACGGGCTTTCTGAACAATGTTTCCTTGCCGAAATATACACATTGGAAGTTCCAATGTAATCCGCCTTGCTACTTCCAGTCGCCATTTTGTAAACAGGACCTAATCTCGAGCTGATGCGCGTTTGAAAGAGTATTGCAAAGCTTCTAAAAGCCCAGAACATACTCTCTAAGGATGATGTTTTTTTATCAATTTAATATCAATTGTTAAACCATATATCTTTACTGTATCACTTTCATAAATTGATAAAAGAACAAATTGATTTTTCCCCTTCAAACTTTTATCTTTCAATTGTTAAAACACATTTTTTTGGAAATTAAACTCACGACAGAATCGGGACAGTAATAAAAAACAGACGATTATCGAACATAAACAGATTAATACCGTATGTATTGAGACACTGATGTGCTAGAAACCAACACAAGGTAACACTCGTTTAATCCATTGCTATCACATCAAGTACTAACTGACATTTATGCAAAGATACCTACTTTGGAAGGATAAATTTAAAGAGATAAAGAGGCTAAATATTCATGCTGTACAAAATTTGACACTTAAAAAAACCTTACTTAGTAAAACTTAAAAAGCAGTCTAGAGGGCAGGTGATTGGGACAGTCCCTACCTAAAAGCCCTCTGGATTCTGCTGTACAACAAATTGTCTTTTTTTTTTGAAACATAGCGTTGATTTGTAACCTGGAGCACGGGTTTGGTAGCAGTTAATATTGGGAGACGTTTTTAGTATTGTATTGTCTCGGTATGGCTACGATTGCGTTCCAGGTCAGGTAATAGAGCATCAAATGTATTAAGTTCAAATATAGCATCACAACAATCATGGATTAATATGGTACAATGTTAAAAAAATAATATTCATACAGTGCATGTAAGATGAAATTGACAAATCATTGGTTTAAATTACAAGTCATCATTTCCATGAAATTATCCAAATAAATAAGATCTTCATGTCAAAATAAACTTCAGGTTTGGTTAAGTATTGATTAGTGTACGTCCTGTCAACAGCTATACATGGTCATTCAAGGATGGCTTCCCCCATTTGCGAGATGCATGCGTGTGGCGATTTTGTGCATAATTAATTTGTTTTGGGAGTCTGTAGTATGTCATGTTTGTCTCCTTATGATAGCGCAGGATTGATGCTGACTTTATAGTGTAATTTCACTGGAGCATACTGTTGAAGACACATCTTATTTTACGATCGAACCTGAACATCTCACCATCTTCAATAGCCAAGGGTTAATAATTTAGCATTGTACTATTCAACCCTGGCGGATTTAGCCTTGTGTTTAATTTCCCGCCCCTGCCACCTTGCAGAGACACCTTACTAGCAAAACTTTAAACTTTCAAGATTATTTCAGCACTGGTCACCTATGCATTTCCCTCGGTTATAATTTACAGTTAGAATATGGCCAATTATCTCTACCAACTGATCAAATACAGAAAATGTTTCGTTAAGTATTGTCCTCCTTTGTTTTTTGACTTATCAAAGACACAAAAAACGCAAACACCAAATTAGCAACTATGATATTTTTATTTTTTAAGGTTTGGCGATTGAATGGCCACGGCTCCATATAGATGTGGTGACCGACTCTAAATTAGAGTCATAGGGCAAACCAAATTGAGATAACTGCAGATCAACTTGATAAATCTTTTGCAAACTTAGGACAATTGAAATAAGGACAAATTACGTGAACACTGGGAACAGATGTACACCTCATTTTCCCCACTTTACCAATTACTTATTCGACAATAGTTGGTCCCATTAGAAATATTTGTAATTTAAGAGAACACTCGGAACAGCTGTACACTTCAAATTAATTATACTATTAAATTGCAAATACAATTTGTTAACTTCACAAACTTATTTCAATTGAAACTGTTCATTGAATGACAGCTGGTCAATATGGTAAAAATTTGCACTGAAGCGGTACTGGTGTTACCTCAAAAGACCGCCACATGGCAATGCCATGCACTCAAAAAGATAGCAGGCCTTGCCAACGCCACCATACCGCAAAATTCAAATTAAACATCAGACACCCGTTACTACTGTGAGGACAAGCAACTCAGTAGTTAGACTGGGTAACTTATGCCGTTACAGCCAAATAATCGTAATCGCAATCCCAAATCTGACAATAATTAAGATATCAATACTTTTTGAAATAATATTGCCAAGACCTTGCTGCAAATGGTACAAGAAAATGTCATTGCCTGGACATGGTCCAGAAAAAGATCAGGGCAATAGCAATATTCCCGGTTCTCAGGGTATTTAATATAACTGCCTCCTATGGCTGTGAAATGACTGGCCACTTTGCTATTGACCCCCACTCTGGCCCTATCAACAGCCTCATGAACAATTCATTTCGCCACTTCAACCGAGGTAAAATGTGTGACCAAACAAATACGCTTTTTCTAAAAGAGTGTGATTTA